TGCTGGTGGGAGCCCCTGCTGGGGCTGCCCCTGCAGGGGCTGCTCACTGGGGTGGGATGAGATGACCCCCTGCTGCTGCCAAAGCTGTGGCTCCACCTGTGAGTGCCTTTTCCGTGAATTCAGTGTTTCCCATCCCTGACATGGACTTCACCTTTCTGGAGAAACTCAGCAACACACACTGGATAACTTGGCCCCATGCTCCCACCAAGCAAAGTGACAGCAGGGCCAATAAATTCACCAATCACCATGAAAACCATCATCATCTTAAAAATGAGAGTCAGACCCCCGAACTAATCTGATGGAACATGATTTTGTAGCTTTTCCCAAGTAGGCCAGGCATCCCAGGAATGCCGTGTGTCCTGTGTTGTGTCTGTAGCAGGGGCTGTCAGGCTGAAGTGGGGGTTTGGTGTTGAAGGAAGGGATGGGGATGGTCCGAGTCCCCTTTGTGTGTTGAGGGGGAAAGGGCTGTGCTGCTCCCCAGACTGGAAATCCCTTTAAACTGGGGTTTACTGGGAACTAGTTCAGGTCACCCCTGAGCTGCTGTGGGCTCTCTCCCATCCTGCCAGGCTCAGTGAAGGACACGGCCGCTTTCCAGGGCCTTGTGGAGCACGGAGCCCTGGCCTGGTAGGTGCAGGGTGGGGGTCAAGGTGCGGGGGGATCCAGGCCGTGGGGGTTCCCACAGCGTCTCTGTGTTGGTGCTGGACCCCCCAAAAGCAGATGCATTGCAGGGGTGCCCCGTTCCCTCCAGTGCGCCGGGACCCCCATGCCAGGGGTGCCTGAGGGGGTGCGGGATGTCCCTGACCCCAGAGGGCGAGGCTGGGGCCAGCCCAGGGAACAGCCGGGCCATGGTGGCCATGTTTGTTGTGGGCAAATGGTGGCTGTTTTCCCCAAGGCATCAGCCAATCAAAGCACAGAGATCTGCATCTCATTTGGGTACTGCAGCCGGGTATGGAGCTGTGCAGCTTCCCAGGATGGGGTGGCCGGGGACCGCGTGGTGTCCGGGTCCTGTGCGGGAGTCGGAGGGGCGCGTGCCACCCCCAGAGCAGGCGTTTTGGGAGGCAGCAGTGTCCCCACACACTGCGTGCCATAAATAAATAAATACGTGTCCTTGTATGTTTGTTGTTATGTTCCCATCCCGGAGCGGCTGGGACCCCTGGGCAGCGAGCAGCTTCCCAGTGCAGGAAAAAGAAAAGGAAGCAAATGGTGTGGAAATGCATGGCAAATTGGGATGCAATACACAGCGGGGCTCTCCCTGCTGCGTGACCCCCAGCCCGGGGAGGGGGGGCGGTGGGGAATGAATTACGTGGGGCCGGGAGGGTGGGAGGAGACGCGGGGATCCGGCAGAGGCTGTGTCAGGGCAAGGCTAGGCTGGGCTTTGGCCTTTGTCATCGGGAAATATCTGCTGAAAATGTCCCACATTGCCCATGCACGAGGTGTGAGGAGCAACGGGAAGGGCTGGGAAAGGCTCCAAGGACGTGCAAAATGCTACAGTTTGGGGTTTTCCTTGGAAGAGGCTGAGCTGGACATGGCTCCTGGCTGGGGAGCAGGAGCTGGTTTAGGTTCCGTGTGTCTGTGGGATTAAAACTCGCACCCACAGCAGCGAGGATCCATCTCATCCGTCTGGCCTGGGACATGGAAGCATCCCCCAGCCCGGGCACGCAGTCAGGGCCGGGAGGGGATGGTGACATTCAGGTGTGTGTCGTGGATCTTCGGGGCATCCCTTGGATCATCCCTGCGAGGGTGGTGCAGCCGGAGCTGCAGAGGGTGCTGGGGAGCGCCCCGGGCCCGGCGGCACCGCGGGTGGTTCCCAGGCTTTGTCCCTCGGGACGAGGAGCGGATCCCTCTCCCGGGCAGCCGCCGGGGCACCGCATGGCCCCGGGGCAGCGTCCGGTGCTGGGCGGGGGGCTGGTGGCTGCGGGCGCCGCGGCTTTGGGGAGATGCTCCGGGCCGCGCTTTCACCGTGAGCCGCTTCCCCCGCCGGTGCCGGGAGCTCGGGGGAGCTGAGCGTGGCTCGGGAGCCCTCGGCCGCCGGCTGCCGGTACTGCACGGGACACCGGGACACACCGGGACACCGGTACTGCACCGGGACACTGGGACATTGGGACACCGGTACTGCACCGGCAGGGACACCGGGACATTGCGACACCAGGACATTGGGACGTCGCCATACCGGGACACTGGGACACCAGCAGGGCGGGAGGCAGCGGGACAAGGGTACGGGGGGATGGAGGAACAGGACCAGCTCTTGGGCCAGGGAGGGGATCCCCCAGGTCCCGCGTGCTCAGGAGCCCAGGACTGGGGGATGGTCCGTCCTGGAAATGCGGCTGCAGCACGTACCGTGACCAGCGTGCTGCTTCCAGCCCCCCCGAGTGGGAGCAGCCCCAGCGAGGTGTGTCTGGTGGCAATCCCTGTGACTGGAGGGCAGGGGAAACCCTCCTGCAGGGATGTGTCAGGTTCAGCATTTCTCTAGGATGGTCCCTTCCTCACCATGGATTTTTCTGGCAGAGCTCTGTCTCACCTAAATGTTGCTGGTTGAGTCAGGAGCTCAATTCCTGCTCCCAGCTGAGGGAAGATCAGCTCTCAGATGAGGATTTGTGTCAGGAGATTGGTCACTACAAACTCCATGTTCCCTGTGTGGGTCTGGGAACCAGACTGGGACCAGCCCTATGAGCACTGTGGCGCTCCAGTACTTAAAAGCTTATAAAAAAGGGAGAGTGGCATTTTAAATGGGCAGAGAGTGATAGGACAGGAAAGTGGTTTTAAACTTCCAGAGGAGAAATTTAGGTTAAATGTTAGGAGGAAATTCTTCCCTGTGGGGTGGGCAGGCCCTGGCACAGGGTGCCCAGAGCAGCTGGGGCTGCCCCTGGATCCCTGGCAGTGCCCAAGGCCAGGTTGGACACTGGGGCTTGGCCACCCTGGGACAGTGAAAGGTGTCCCTGCCATGGCAGGGGTGGCCCTGGATGGGCTTGAGGTCCCTTCCAACCAAAACCATTCCATGAGTTTGTGATCCTGCTTGTGCCTGCTGGGCATGAGGACGGTCAGAGCCGGGTACCAGCGGGTTCTGAGCTCTGCAGGCTCTGCCAGGATCTCCAGGGTACCAGCAGAGCTGGCTGCCCCTGCCCGTGGCTGTGCTGACCTGCTGGGGAAGCCCCAAGGTCACCAGCAGGAGAGCTGGGGAGGTTTCTGTGCACACTCTTATCATTTATACCATTTTCAACGGCGTGTACAGCGCTGGCCACGCTCCCCTTTCAGAGCCTCCCTGCTGCTGCTGCTGCCCTGACCCCCACCCCAGCAACGTTTCAAGCCAAACATTTTCTTCCTGTTTTTCTGAGGGCGCGGCTCTTGTTTCATCTCGTTGGGTGAAGCCGATGCAGTGAGAGAGTCTCTATGGCAACAGATGTTTATCGAGCCCCTGAGATGAGGCACAGGGCTGGGGAAAGGCACCACAGCATCTGGGAGGGGTCTGGGGATGCTGGAATGTCACTCTGGGAGGGCTGGAGTGGGGGCTGCAGGGTGGGGGGGTCTTGCTCCCTGTCCCCTGAGTGCCAGCCTGGCTGAAGGACCCTGGGCTGCTTCCTGCAGAGGGAGGTTTGGATTTGTACGGGGGCTTTTACCTCAGCCCTGCTGGGGAGAGGTCCTGGAGCCTGGCACAACCAGCCCAGGCTCTGCCAGCCCCTGGCTCAGGATTCACAGGGCTGTTTGCTGTGAGCTGGGGGGTCCTGGCCCTGGCACTGCCACATTCCCTGTCTCTCCAAAAGACACCAACGCCCCTCCCAGAACTCCCAGGAGCTGACTCGGCTGTAGCTAGGGCAGGTCTCAGCCATGGAGCAGAGCAGCCAGGCCCATCCTGCCTGCAGGTTTGCTGCTCAGGGCTGCACTGGTGGCATTTCCCAGTTTTGGCCACAGCCACAAAGCACAGAAGGACAAGCAGGATGGTGCTGGTCGGGCTCTTGGGGCAGGAGCTGGAAGTGCTGAGTGACTTTGGGACGCTTCCCAGGCTTTGGGGCTCGGGGTGCCACGGCCAGCCCTGCATATGCCCAGCAGGGACAAAGGGAGCTCCGTGTCCTCGGCAGGTCCGGGCTGAGCGGCTCCACCCTGGGTGGGGCCTGGCACCTTTCAGGGGAGGCTCCCAGCACGCTCGGAACACATTTTAATTAGATAAGACCCTCATTATGTATCAGCTGTCTCTGCTCCAAACCCACCCTGGAGCTGTCCTGCCTCCCGCATTTGGGGTGATGCAGACACGGGGTGACCGTGCCAGGGTGGATGGACAGCAGTGCCACCTCCCGCAGCAGTGCATCCCGGTGTCCCCCAAAGCCTGGGAGAGGCATCTCCTCTGGGGACTGAGGCATGCTGGAGGAGCGTGGGTCAGTCATTTAGAGAGGTTTTGCGAATTCTGTCCCATTCCCTGAGCCTGGGACTCAGGTTTTCTGTGAGCCGTGTGTCTTTCCCCATGTGTGCTGGTAGAGTTGCCTGGAGCTTGGGGGCTGCCAGGACAGGAGAGCACGGTGCTGCTGCTGCTTGTTTCAGGTCTCTGCAGCCTGTGTGTGCCAGGGGATTGGATCAGGAGTTACTTGTTCTGGTGGTTCCCTGGACAAATTTGTGCTGTGAGGGAAAAAGACAAACTCTGGTCTGGCAGCCACACAGAGCCACATGCAGAGCCAGGAGCAGTGAAGGATTCACCCCTCGTGGTTGCTCATGGTCCACACCTGGCTGCACACAGAGGAGAGAGGGGACAGGGCAGGGGGCTGTGCCAGGGTCCAAGAGGGTGCCCCCCCTTCTCTTCAGCCCAGCCCATGCCCTGGGTGGTGCCAGTGCTGACCCGGGGCAGGACAAACTCAGAGTCCTGTCTGAGGCGTGAAGCCCCTGCTGCGCCCTGCAGGGAGCGGTTTTGGGGGCTCCACAGAGGAAACCCGGGGAGACCACGCCCAAACGGGGCACGGTTTGCCGGGGTGTTTGTCCCCTCCTGGGGGTCCGTGGGGTCGGGTACCTGACTGCGGTCAGAAAAGTCCTCCCCAGCATCCCAGAAGGACAGCGAGTCCCAGCATCAGCGGCAGCTTCTCGGCGGGGTGGAGAGAGGGACCGGAACCTGCCGTGCCGAGAGCGGGGTGAGTGCCCGCCATGGCCGGTGACTGTCACCTCCTGCCACCCGTTCTGCTCCCTCCACCAGGCCGGGAGCAGCTCCGCCCCGGTGCCACGGTGACCTCTGCCCGGTTACCGAGCGCGGGAGCCAAGCGGCGGAGGGGGCGGCGGGGATGGGGGGGCACGGCCCGGTGCCCGGAGCCGCCGGGCGGTGGCGGGAGCGGCGGCGGCCGCCAGGTGTCGCTGTTCCCGCGGGAATCCTGGCGGAGCGGAGCGCTCCCGGTGCCGCTCCGGTGCCGCTCCTGGTGTCCATTGCCGCCCCCGGTGCCCTCCCGGTGCCTATTGCCGCTCCTGGTGCCCATTGCCGCCCCGGTGCCGCTCCCGGTGCACTCCCGGTGCACTCCCGGTGCCCATTGGCACTTCTGGTGGCTGTTGCTGTTCCTAGTGCCCACTGTCACTGCCTGCTGCCACTCCCCCTGCCCCCCATGACTCCCGCTGCTCACCATTGCTGCCATTGCCATTGCCGTTGTCATTGCCATTGCCATCGCCATTGCCATTGTCATTGCCATTGCCACCATTGCCACCATTGCCATTGCCATCGCCATTGCCATTGCCACCATTGCCATCACCATTGCCATTGCCATTGCCATTGTCTGTGTCTTCTCTCAGCATGGGCTTGGTGGCCTCCAGGGAGCCGTCGTGGGGCTCGGGGGTGATGCCCAGCAGCTCGCAGAGGAGGGCGTAGACATTGACGCTTTCGAAGGGCTCCACCTCCAGCCCCTTCTTGAAGGCCGGTCCCACGGCGCGGAAGATGGTTTTCATGTTCATGGCCTCGTTGTCAAAACCGTGTTCCCCTTTATTGAACTGGACCTTGTATCTCTGGAGGGGAGAGCAGGAATGTGACCACCCCAGCCCTGCTGCCCCCCACACGCCCCACCTCTCTCACCTCCTGCACCGCGCTCTGCAGCTCTGGGCTTTCGTGGTCTGGTCAGTTCCTTTCGGTTTTGGGAGTTGATCTGTTGGTGTTAAACTCTGCAGAATCCAGAAGTGCCTCCAGACATGGTTCTCAAGCAATTACATCCTACAAATTCCCTCCCTAAACGTTGGCACAGCCAAATTTTGTTGTACTGAGGAGCTTCCAGTGGGAAGCTGCCTGCTGCCCTTGATGCTGGGCCTTCCCTTAAGTCAGGCTAGGAAATTCTGCATTGGATATTCTACACTGGATATTCTGCATTGGATATTCTACATTGGATATTCTGCATTCATGCAACTCCTACTCCAAGGTTTCTGGATACTTTCTCTTCTCAACAGCAGAAAAGATCTTTACACAAAGAGCTGAAATTTATATCTGTGTGTATGGAGACCATTTAACACAAAGGCCTAAAGCTGGGAGGGTGCTGGAGTGGGAGGAGTGAGAGGCACATCCCAAAGGACAGCAGGATATGCCTGAGCAGACACCTTACCCCGTGGATCACGTAGCCTGGATCACTGTACAGCAAAAGTGGGGTGATCCGGGAATGGTTGGCGTAGTGGAACCTCTTTGGAAACTCTTCCTTCTTGTAAACATGCAGCTTTGGGTGGGCGTTTTTCAGGACTGAGTACACGTGCTCCAATTTCCCTTCCTTTGGCACCAGGAGTCCATTTGGTCCATAATCTAGGAGTTCGAAGTCAATGTCTTTGAAGGTGAAGTTGCTGACGGTGCGGAGGTGAATCTCGTCGGTTTTCAGGACGGTCTCCATGCCGTGGTCGGATGTGATGATGAGGTTGAGGGCTGACTCCAGGCCGCTTTCCCGGATACGCTGCCTCAAGTAGCCGACGGTTCTGTCCACCTGCTTGATCATGTTTTTCCTCTGTGTGGATTCAGGGCCGAACTTGTGTCCTGAGGAGTCTGGCTCCCCAAAGTAGAGCGTGATGAAGTCGAGGTTGTCCACTGTGAACCACTCCATGACGGTGTCGATGCTCTGCCTCCAGTTGGTTTCGTTGCTGTAGTTGAACAATGCGGGTTCCACCAACTTCTTGTACACTTCTTCTCCTTGGTATTTCGCTTTGGTTCCAGGGAAGTGGATAGAGCCTGTCTTCAAACCCTGTGAGTGGAGGCATTCCATAAACTCACCTGAACTCTGGGCAGCATCCTTCCATCTGTCAGTGCAGCCACCTCCTTACACGATTAGTTCATTCAGTCCCTAATGTCTACTTCTGCCTCTAATGAGGTTTGCTCATTGCCAATTAAAAGTGATTAATTGAAAGCACTGCCCTTGCACCTGGTCCCTTCACTGTGTTTTGACACCAGTTAAAACTTTGGAACCAGTGACCCATTTACACCTTGCATGGGCCCTCCACCTCTTGACCATCAAGACATTAAGGTGTGTTTTATTGAAGTCAGAGGAGCCAATTGTCAGGCAAATGTGGGCAAAGGTCTTGGGCTGGGGTTCATGTCCTGCCTCAAAGCCAGATTCCAGGCCTGCTGGGCTTGCTGCAGTTCCAGGGGAGTGGCCCCTATAGCTGCCACCACCCAGCTGCCCTGGATGTGCCTCGGGCTGTGTGGGGCTCCCTGAGGAACTGGCTGAAGGCTTCTTTAAACAGGAGCAGGATAACCTGCTTTATTGATGTCTTAATAAAGCCAAAATGCATCTATTATTTTTTGCTATTTTTAGTAGAATGTTCATAATTATTCCTGCTAGAGTCTGGGGATTTCAGTTTTTTGCTGGTCTAATTAGCCTGACGTTCATAGGGAGGCTGGGATCTCACGGCCACTAGGGATCCTGGCTTGCCTGTAGCTTTTCCCGGGGGATGGCAGGTTGGATGGGTCTGTGCAGGGTCTGTGTGTGAGGAGGTGCCACACTTGCCTGTCTCTGGGCAGTGATCCAGATGGGGAGGCTGCCGTTGTCCCACCAGCTGCTTATGCCTTGTGTGGTGTAGTAGGGCAGTTTCACGCCTGTTTTGGTGTTGAACCACATGTTATGGATCACCCCGTGGTTCTCCAGGTACTGCCCTATGGGAGAGATGAGAGGAGGGGGTGAGCCAGGCTGTGCTGGGGGGTCTCACCCCCACACTGGTGTAGGGCAGAGGGGACCTTTGGCCTCCCCTTCCTACCCTTGCCCTCTCCCAGCTGGGGTCCCAGGGCAGGGAGGGAGATGCTGGGGGACTGCTGCTTCCCATGTGGGTTAGTTGATGTCTGGTGGGTCTCACCTGGACCCAGCCAGGCACTGGCAACACCTGCAGCGGTTGCTGCCCTCTGGGCACGGGCAGGTTCCCATTATCCTGGCTGTGTCTAACCACATGGTGTTTCACTTTCGCTGTTGCTCGCAGTCTGCGAGGTCAGTGAGCAGAAGTTTCCATTAGAAGGGAGAGATGCACTTTGACTCCTACATTTTGTGCTATTTTTGTTATTCTGGCCCTGAAGACTGCGCAGTCCCTTCTGCACGACATCCCCATCCTCCCTCGTATTGACTCTGCCGCCCTGCTTTTGCCCATCAGCAGATTTCATTAGCATGCTCCACTCTTTCATGCCAAGGTTATTAATTAAAATCTTAAATAAGATTGGCTCCAAAATCGATTCTTCAGGAATTCCCCTGGTGCCCTCCCTCCAGCTTGACAATCTCCTCTCAGCATCCACTCTGTCCTCCTCCTGTAGCCTCTCACTTCCCCACATTACAGATTTTGTGCTAATCTTCATCTTCTCCGTCTTAACTAATGATTTCCCATGTGGCACTGTATCAAATGCACTACTTAAGTCCAGAAAGATTAAATTTAGAGCATCTCCCTTGTTTAAAAAATAATTTATCTTATGAAAGGAGGCTATCGAGTTGGTCTGGTGCTATTTACCTTTGATAAATACAGGTTCAGTTCATGGAATCCCAGAATGGTTTTAGTTGGGAGGGACCTGAAAAACCATCCCATTCCACCTCTCTGCCACGGGCAGGGACACCTTCCACCGGACCAGGGTGACTCCAAGCCCCGTCCAACCTGGCCTTGGACATTTCCAGGGATGGAGAAATCTGTGCCTCACCAACCTCACAGGGAGGAATTTCTTTGTGTCTGGTTTAAATCTACCATTTCTGCATCTCTTGCCTGTCTGCTCTGAAGCTCCATGTGCTGCTGGGTCAGGATGGTCTGGATGCCTCCTGACCTCATATCCTTCTCTGGCACCTAAGCCCTGACCCTGTGTGGTTGTGTTCGAGGGTCTCAGGACAAGGGAAGAAATGAGAATCTTGATTCCATGTTTCAGAAGGCTGATTTATTATTTTATGATGTTATATTAAAATGCTGTACTAAAGCTATACTAAAAAGAATAGAGAAAGGAAAGCATCAGAAGACTAGAAAAGAATGGAATGGAATGAAATCATAACGAAAGCTCATGACTCTCTGAGAGTCCACAAGCTGGACCATGGTTGGTCATTAAGTAGAAACAATGCACATGGACCAATCAAAGATGCACCTGATGCATTCCACAGCAGCAGATAATTATTGGTTTTCTTTTCCTCTGAGGTTTCTCAGCTCCTCGGGAAAAAAAATCCTAGCAAAGGGATTTTTCATGCAATATGACAGTGACAACCCTGCCCTTCCCCAGCACCCGTGCAGCTCCCGTGGCCCCGGCCGGGGCACTCACCGGTCAGCAGCGTGAAGTGGCAGGGGCTGGTGAGGGTGACGAAGGCAGGAGTCATGTACTTGGCCTTCACCCCATCTGCAGCCATGGTGTCCAGGTTGGGGGTGTCCACGTCCTGGTCGTAGTTCCAGCGAAAGCCGTCGAAGGACACCAGGAGGAGTTTGCTGCGGTTGGGCGCCTGCTGCAGCGGGATGCATCTTCCCAAGGACAGGGCAGCAAAGAGCAGCCCCAGTGACAGGAGCATCTTCATGGCCTTGAGCTGGAACAGCCCAGGTGTCCGGAGAGCTCGCATTAATACGTGCAGGATGGGACCAAGTTCAGTCCTTATCTAATCCTGCAGTTGCTGATCGGGTGTGTGGCTTCAGCCAGCATTTGCTATCAGGACAAGTGTTTGTTGTTTGTCTCTCTGCAGTAGATTATCTTAAAGTTCTTTCTGGGTCAAACACCAAATCTGCATCTTCCCTCAGCAGTGGTGGTGCTGTTCTGGTGTGAACGGGGAGGTTCCTGGTGTGGTGGGAGGCTGGGAACCTGCCTCCACAGCCCCCCGTCCCTCTCAGCCCCCCGTGGTGTCCTGTCCCCACTCCTGGCTCTCGGTGCCCTGCTCTGTGCTCAGCAGCTCAGCCTCAGAAGGCAGCTCACACCCCAGGACTGCTTGTCCACCTTGAGATGGAGGCTCCAAGGCTCAGGGAGGGGCTTGGATTTACCCACAGCTTTCCAGTGTGGCTTTGTTGAGCTGCTCACTGGAGAAGGAGGCTCTTCCTTGGATTCTGACCAGGCATCAACCCCCAGAGATGCTCCTGAGGGTGAGCCCAGTTCTGAAGCCCCCGTGTCCCACAGCGCTCTGCAGCTCTCCACGGGTGACCCTCCTCTGCTTGTGCACTGCTGATCTTCGCTGTATCAGCATCCCACCCTATCAATATCTGCTGGTTTATGGCTTCTCTGGGGTTTAATCATTGCTGACGACTCGTTTCTCAGAAAAACGGAGTTTAAGGCTTTTGTAGAGTTATGTAACAGAGGTTGCCTTGGTTCCCTGGGCTCTGAACTCACAACCTTTATGTCTTTGCTGATGTTCCTCTGCTCAGGTTGCAGATTTATTCCTCGGTGCTTTGCTTCCTAACTTTCTGCCACCCTCTCCTCACCAAGCAGAGCTGTCTCCACCTGGTTTTCCCTGCCCTGTCTGGGGTCATTCCTTGATGTTTCTCCCCAAGACTGGGCTGGGTAGATGAGTCTTAGGCACATGGGTTTGTTCTTCCTGTATGGAGTGACAGCCTCTTTGTAGTCCTGAGCATCTCAAGTATTCCCACCTGGACTGATTTGTCAGAGGGCGTTGGTGTGTCTTCCAGTGTGGGTGTTTCCCTGGTGTGACATGGGACAATCCTGCAAGAACACTGCCAGAGCACCAAGGGATCCCAGCAGGGACCTCAGGGCTGACACCAGCTGGGAGTGCAGCCTTGGGCATTTGCAGGCAGTGAAATGCTGGGGTGGATCCTGCCCTGAGCCCCCAGCCCTGCGATCCCAGCCCTGAGCCATCCCTCCTGCTAACGGAGGGCTGGACTAACAGCACCCCAGCTCTGCTGTCTGCCAGCCCACACTGCACTCCCTCAGCTCGGTGTGCCTCTCTGCCAGCCCAGCACCTTCTCTGCCAGCCCAGCACTGATGTTTACTCAAGGAACTGTTTTTTTATCTGCGTGTGTTGCCCTGAGTTCAATACTGTCCTTTAGTGAGGACAGAGCCTCCTGGCAGCACCGAGGGTTTAAAGGGCTCACGATAAAGATGTTATTGCTTGCCAAGCTCAGGGAAAGTCCTAAATATTCAGCTGTTCTGAGGTGGGTCAGCAAGTCCCTGTGCCGCTGCTAACAGCAGGTCCTGATAACGTATCGTGTCCATCGCTCCTCAGGGAGGGAGGAGATGAGCCAGGAGGAAGCACTGCACCAATCTCTGAGGAATGCTGGATGTCAGGAGTGTTTCCAGGCATATTTTGATATCGGTATCTGAGGAGCACGAGGCACAGATAAAGAACATCACCTTTGGCCACCCTGCCTGGGGCTGCTGCGAGCTCCAGCTGAAAGGGCTGATTTTGCACTAACAACGCCCCAGGTGCTGGTTCCGTGTGTGTCTGTGCCCCAGGGGCCGTGGCTGCTCTGGGCCCATCACGTCCTGCTCAGCATCCTCTGGAGCTCCAGCTCCAGGCTGGTGGCACCAATCCTGCATCCTTGGAAACACTGCTGAGTTCCAAGGGCACCACAAGCTGTCAGCCCTGTCCCTGCTGGGGCTGACACTGTCCACCCTGCATTCGTGCACCAGGTAGCTCCATGAAGATTGATGAAGGGGCTACAAATAGAGAACGTGAGCCCAGAGAAATCTCCTGCTCGTGGAACTGTCCTGCTTGGTGTCCCAGCCTGTTCCCAGCCTTTGGAAGAAGTGATGTGCTGAGCACCCCACGGGCAAACCTGCAGCTCCCTGTGGCACGTGGCTGCACGGGCAGTGCTGGGGCAAGCGGCTGCTGAGCACCAAGGAGTGGACAAGCTAAGGGTCAGTGTTACTAAAACCTCTGCTACAGCCTAATGCTGCCCCAGGAGCAGAGCCAGGGATGCTGCAGCATTCCTGAGGGTCTGGGGTGACTCTGGGGGGAGGTGTGGAGCTCTTGGGGATGGGATGCACCTGGGCAGGTGCGTGGTGTGATGGGTGTGCACCAAGGAGCAGGGCAGCGCTGCCAGGGTGTTGGATGGATCCGGGAGCAGCCCTGGTCTTGGCCCAAGCCCTGAAGCAGATGGAGGGAGGAAGGTGCTCCAGCCAAGCTGCTTGGGAGGGCTGGAAAAGAAGAAGGAGGTGGGAAAAGAAGCTTTGAGTGCTGTGGGGGGCTCTTCGGGCAGGAGCTGGCTGCCGGTACCAGCAGGCAGGGATTCGACTCCTACCCCTGAGCTGCAGCCTTGGTGCGCGCGGGAGCCGCTGTGGGGTGTCCCGGCAGCTCTCCAGCGTGGGGATGACTGAAGAGACCCCCGAAATGACCCCTTACTCTCAGCCCCTGCAGTGAAGGGTCGGGCAGTGCCCGCGGGGCCCAGGCGAGGAACTGCTACCTGCCGGGGGGAGCTCGGAGGGACCCCGGGAGGGACCCCGGGAGGGACCCCCGACCCCCCCAGCGCCGCCGGATTGGGCCAGCAGGGGGCGCTGCGGGGCCGCGGCGGGGCGGGCGAGGCCGGAGGGTCTTGGGAGCGGCGGTGCTGGGATGGAGCCGGGATGGAGAGGGGATGAGAGGGGATAGAGCGGGGATGGAGAGGGGATGGGGAAGGGATGGGGAAGGGATGGAGACGGGATGGAGCCGGGATGGAGAAGGGATGGAGCATGGATGGAGAGGGGATGGAGCAGGGATGGAGCCCGTGTCCAGAGCAACAGGAGGGCCGGGAACACCTCCCGGGATCAGGGGTGAGATTTCACCCCGGTGGGAGAAGGGAGCCCTTCCCGGTAGGGATCTCGGGGAGCAGCTGCTTTCCTTCCCCTCCTCGAGCACCGCCCCGGGCTGGAACGCTCTGAGTCAGCTCTGCCCCCGTGCCTGCTCTGCCCTCCCTGAGGATTCTCCTCATGCTGCTCCTCCCTTCTGCCTCGGGGTGATCGGGCTGTGGCCATCGAGCTTCGGCGAGTGTGGGAAGGGAGCAGCGGGGCTCAGGACTGAGGGCGACAGCCTCGGAGCACGGCGCTGCTGTTCGGCACGGGGGTCGGGCTGGCTGGAGGAGCGGGGGTGATGGAGCCCGGGGAGGGTCTCATCTCCAAGCTCGAGTGACTGGCTGCGCTGTCAGAAGCCGAGGTAGTGCCCACTTGCTGTCTGCCTTTCCTAGCACTAAATTTGCTCATGGGCTGAAAATCAAGACTCCCTCTTGAGGAATTCCCGTGCGGGGGCTCAGCCGGGTGGCTCCAGCCAGGGGAACACTGGGGCACCGCTCAAGGCTGCGCAAGCCCTGACTCAGCAGCAGCTCTGCTTACCTGGGCTGGTGCAGCCCCTTCCTTCTCGGGAGGGTGAGCTGTTCCACGCTGAGAGCGAGCTCCTCCCATGCTGGGGTCCTTGGGGAGTGATCTGGCCAGCACTCAAGGTGAGGAAAAAGCAAAAGGATGAGAGCAGGGAGGAAGACTCCGTGTCTCGCTCTCTGCAGCCAAAGCCAAGTGCCGTCCCTGGGTGATGATCAGGGGGTCCGGCCCCATTCCCTGGTCACTGCTACTGAATCTCGTGGTGATTGCCAGGGCTCAGCCTGTGCTCCTCCTTCTGCTCCTCGGTGGGCTCTGAGCCCTGTGGAGCAGAGCAGGGTCAGCCCCGGGCTCTGAGCCCTGTGGAGCAGAGCAGGGTCAGCCCTGGGGCTGCAGCCCGGCTCTGCTCTCTGCCCGGGACCCTTCCTGTGCAGCTTGGTTAATCCCGGCTCTGCTCCCCCCGGCCTGCGGCTCTCGCTCAGCTTCCTTAGCTGATGGCTGTGTCTGCCTCCCATTGATCCCCAGCTGCAGAGCTCATTGATTAACTGCATTTCTTATTACACTTAATGGTGTTTTACTCCTCTCTGTGCTTCCCTCGTGCCAGCTGCTCACCCTGCTCCTGCCGGGTGAATTCCTCTGCCCAGAGAAACGCCGTCCATGCCGGCCATGCTCTCCTCCCCCTGCCACCACCGTGGCTGCCCTTTCTCCTGCTTCCTCCTCGGCCAGGCAGTGCCTCTGCCTGCTCTCTTCCCCTTCTCTGCTCCCTGGGCCCTGCTCCCATGCAGGGCTGATTTTCTTCCAGCGGTTCCTGCAAGTGGCACAGCCCTGCCAGGGTGAGGCACTGCCCAAGGCACTGTGTTCTTCCCTCCCCGACGCCTCCACGCTCCACGTGCTACTGCTCCATGCCTCACCTCTTTTCAACTCTCTTGCATGCATCATTCAAAAGCCATAACATTATTTGGCATAAAATATTTACTTAACTGAGCTTTTTGCAAATACTCCCCTCCATTATTTCCCCTCCTTTTGGGAGCAGATGCTGCTTCAATGCTCAGTGTTCTCAAATGGCTTCTCTTAAATAATACAGCAAGAACGCATGAACACCCAGTAGCCTTTTCCTTTCTCCTGAAATACCCATAAATGTAACAGTGTCACCAGTCCATTAGGGCCACACCAGGACCATGCTCAGGAGCACCCAGCAGCTCTGCCTGCGGAATCACCTCACTCTGGGTGTGGGACAGGCAGGGAAGGTGCTCCAGGAGAGAGCAGAAATACAGGAGAAGGTCTGACATGACG